CCAAGCTCGGGAATTTGCCTCTTGAAAGTAAATTAAATATAAATCTCTTATAAAATTAGATTAAATATAAATACATAACTAAGTGATGAGTGACATGCAAACATCCGTTTTTTCTAAGCATCTTCTGTATGATTGCTTTTCTAAGGAGAAGGTTCATTTTTACATCTTCAAGCTTTTGCAGCATATATGGCTCAGGATCTGACATCAGACAGACCTCAGTTAAATCAAGGGTCTGTCTTTACCGACTATATGATATGGGCAGGTAACTCAACTTCTTTGAGCATATAATGGAATCTGAAAAATAGGGCTAATTATGGTGTTATCTCACAGGGTTGTTGTAGGGATTGCATGAACTCTTTCATCAGACTCTTAACATAGCATTATAACAGAGTATGCACTCTGTGAACTCTGCAATTTTATTATTAGCTTTCACTTGGAGCCATCATGTGTCAATCATTCTGGTTTTTGCAAAAGGTCATTCATTCTTTCATTGATTCATTTGGCACACATGGTAGCAATCATTAACATTTAGTCACTAACCTTAAAGAGTTTTTGGTTTAATGATCAACTGAATACAGACACTTTATTTTCACTGAAAATTAGATTTAAAAGATTGACTCTGTTTAGTAAGTGACATTTTGGTTTTACACATGCACACGGACATGTAATGAGCATCCTGAGTCAAAGGTAAAAGCCAAGATTATGTCTCTTAATGCTCTTTTTTTTGGCTTGTTTAACAAATCAGCAAGTCTCCTTTGTTAAGAAGGCATTTCACTGGGGAGGACTTTCTGGCTGAGGCGTGGCTCTCCCGCTCCAGACACAGACCATAGGCACCCTTTGTCCCTGCAGGGAGTGGTGACGGGCACATGCGCGGACTGCAGGCACAGGGTGGTGCCTGCACATACTCCTAACTCCCTTTGTTTTCTTTTTAACTCATGTACTCAGACTCCTCATAGAGCTATAGGCTTCCCATTAAATTTGTTTTGATACTTATTTTTGTTTTTGTGCTATAACGTCCCCGTCCTGAGCTTTTCAGAGGCACTCTTGCTGATCTCCTCTAACTTGTTTTCTGAGGACATGCTGTCTTCAGTCATTACGGGAACTGTTTCCCGGGAATGGGTCCACCACGTGGGGGGTCTCACCCATTGCCAGGAGCAGAACCAGCGCCCAGACTGGGTGGAGAGGCCTTGTGTGTGCTGAAGGGGTGGGGCTTAGTTTTAAAGTGAAGGTTCTTGATTTGAACTAAAGTCTGGGGAGAACTGTACATGGATAGAGAGGTTTTGACACAACGGCTGTCCAAATAATGGCAGATATTGAGGTGGCCAATGAAAGCTACATTTAAACATGTTGTGAGGTCTCAAAGTACTAGAATGAAGAGAAGAGACACAAAGGAATTGCAATCTACGTACGATGTGTAGATGTCAACTGTAAGATATATTAAAACAGAAGAAGAATCTTTAATGGAAAGAGTTTGGGATGCACTAGTATAAACAATCTGCCTATTTATTTTTTTAAATAAATCAAAGTACCATTGACTAAATAAATCTCAGGTTGAATGTGCTGGAAAAGTCAAGTATGAAAAGAACAATCCTGTGATAAGAATAGTACGGTGGGCTTTCTTTCTAGTTCAACCAGCCATGTTCCTTTAAGGACAGCACCCTCTGGATTCAGCTCCTCATAGATGAATGCACGTGGTATTACTTGGTTTGCCAGTCACTAAAAATGGCACTTCAAGGTCTGGAGGTCTGGGACAGTTTTCTCTTGTTCTAGGAAACTGCAACTATTTTGATTAAATAATACCTTTGCAACTATTTTATTTAGAATTGGGGGTCACTGGGAGAGTGGAAAAAAAGTACACATACATCGGTTCAGAGTATATAAAAATACTGTTTACATAGCACCATTCCGGTTACAACATCTATGACAAAACCAGTCTGGCAGTTTTATTTTTACATTGCAATTATAACATGAGGTAAAATTGGAAGTTACAGCATATCTCTTTACCCAGACATTGGATGCACAGAGATGGACTCCTACAAGGGTTGTAAATCAGGGAAGTGGCTTGCTATATTTTACCTGGCTTCAGAATTTCGGGGATTCCTCTGCTGTAGATTTTGGAACGGAACATCCAGTTGCATTACAGCGGCACTGCGGTGCTTCTGGGCGCTGTACTCACTCTCTCGTAGGCTTCCGTCTGCCGCATTCTGATACACTCTCTCTCACATATTTGTGTTTTTGCTCCTCTTTAGCCCGGCCATTCGTTAATCTTCAAAATCATCATCATGATTATTTTAACTGCCTTTCTCCAACAGTTGCTGCAAAACCGGGTCTGAGATTCATCTAAGAGAACGGCATGTTTCCATATTTTAGTATTTTAGAGGTTTAATTAAAAACCAGAGGTTTTTAAGCTCAGTTTAGTCTATTCTCTTAATCTTTTGGTCTTTGGCATAAAAATCCTGAAAATAAAACCTTTCTAGTTATTTTTAATTTATAGGTCTTTACGTATTTGAATTATAGATTTAGGATCTTACTGAGTGTTTGTCACATTACTTTAAACCTTGAGATTTAGAGTGTTTCCTGTATTATGAAGTGGAACCCCCTGCCACCTCTACCCTCCCCACCCGGCACCACACACACACTCGAGGAGGCTTGCTTTTGTTTCTCCTAGAACACCTTTGAAAGGTTTCAATGAAAAAAATAGTTTGTAAAGTATGGCGATTCACTTCACAGGCAACCCTTATATGACTATGTATTTTGTAAAGTGGGGGAAATTAGTTTAGAAGCAGGGCCACCTCTCTCATTTGTGGGGGGTGAGCGAGCAGTGGGGTCCAGTCTGTGATCCAGCTCCCCCTCCAGCTCGGGGAGGGGGTCCTTTGGCACTTGGTCCGCCCACAGAGGTACTCTTTTCTAAAGCCTACAAATGATATGGCATATGCTAGGGCAGTCCTGAATAAGAGGCTTCTAAAAGCAGTTGAAAAAGTTTTAAAAAGATAAAATTACCCCTCATTTGTCTTTTAAAACAAATCCAACAACAGAGTCATTGCTGAGCAAGACAACCATGATACAATGTCTGTTTCATTTCTGGGAACATCAAAATGCATCTCCATTCCCTCAAATATATATGCACATGCACACGCATACACACATGGAGAGAGCTAATTATTAATATCGCTGTGGCCCCATATTTAATGATTTATTATACTGATATCCCAGAAGGTTGAAGAGAGTAACATTTCTGTTGTTTATTCATTCAGGAAAAAATTGATGATAGAAATCATCATTAGCTATACATATTCATTGAGTTTAGAAAATGATTTTTTAGGAAAAATTGTTCATGTCAGAATAATAACTAAATTTCTTTACCTGTAATCAAGAGTCATAGTATTTACAATGTTGATTTACATAGTCTATTGTCTGTTTTGCTCAGAAAGAGACAATGCCCACTAAACAAGTTGATAGGGAATTCTAAAAATCAATTTTCAGACTGTATTATGACTAGAGTTACCATAAAATTCATCTTCCAAACCTGGGCACTTTGAGAGTGAAAGGGAGAACTATGCTGGGGCAGCAGGTGTTAACTGGGACCATCCCAGGCAAGTTGGAGTATATGAAAACCTTGGCAATAGATCACATAATAATCTGAACTAATAATTCAGTGTGTCCTCTAGTATGCTGTAGTATTTCATAAATTTCTTCGTTTCATAAACATATACTAAACACTTTATTGTGTGCATGTTCTTGACACTGCAGTGGGTACAAACATGAGTCACTGACCGATTCTGGCCTCAAGGAGCTTCCAGTCAAATAGGAGGTCCAAGACAAATATGTACAGACTGGTTCCTTTAAGATGCTGCCTTTGGGCTGGTAAGATGTGTCAAGGCACAGTCTGAGAAGTGTAGAATTCACAGACTGAGGTGCTAAATGCTCTGATGCGTGAGCCTGAACCTCTTTCCTCTCTGTGCTCTCGCCACAACCCCTGTTCTCCTCGTACCTTGTCCGGCAGGCCTTCAGGTGCTCCTGGTGCCTCTTCCTGGCTTTGCTTCCACCCGCCTCTCCCCAGCTCGTCGAGTTCATCCTCCTTCCCTACTCCTTCCTTTTCCAGGCTCAACGGGACTTGGTTCTCCTTCCACTCTCTCCTCCAACCCTTCTGGAGAACAGCAGCTTACAACATGTTTTATGAATTTCTTTTTAGTGTTTTATAGCACGGATTAATTCTATTTGCATATGTACACTGATTTGTTAGTGTGTGGGAGATTATTAGTCAATTGTCTCTTCAATGATATATTTAAGATTTTCAAACCACAGCTGCAAGTCATTTTGCATTTTATTATGTACTATAATTTTATCTTAAAACTGCACCATGCATGTAGCACTGTCTCCTATTTTAACTTATTTTTATGTTGTCTCTCCCTGGCAAAAGTAGTAATTCTTATTATTGTATTCTGCCCAATAGAGCAGGAAAAGAATAATAAAGCAAACCAATAAAAGGAAGATAAGTTATAAACTGCTTACTGAGATAATAATACTCTGTCTACTGAATAATATCCCTCAAATCTCTTTCCATCAGACTTTTGCAATATTAGATAATCATAATTTATTTCTTAGCATAGAGCAATTGGAAGATAATGATTATAATTAAGGGAAAGAGAGCTAATTGCAAAAAGTCCAATATGAAATCTTATGATGACTGATTCTATTTGCCCCAAGGGAAGCAGATATTTACTCATTATCTAGTAGGTCTGATCAATACAGAGAGTCAAACTAAAGAATTTAGGTTCTAAATAAAGAGCCCTCAGAGCCCTCCAGGGGGCCCATTTATGAACTTGATTCAATTCTAAGAGTTTGGAATTTCAAAAGAAAGAGTAGAATTCATATTTAGGGAAATAAGAAATCTTCAACTTTTAACAACAATCAGTTTTTCCCTGTTTATTATATGCCCAACAGTGTAGAGCACTGGGTTTTTAGTGGCAAATATAATAGACCCCTTGCCTGTCCTTAAGGTTGTCATTGTGGTGGAGAAGAAGACATTGAATGTGAAGTCATGAGGGCGGTGAATGTTCCAGAACACAGGTGTGTGGACACGTGTGGGAGCCATGCAGGTGAGTCATAAGCTGATAGACACTCAGATCTGATAGGGGCATTTTGATTATTCAGTGCAAGTCCCAAATGAAATTATTTCTAAGGGATGGGAGTGTTTCAGTGGGTGGAGCAAATGTGGGCAGGAAGGCAGAGGAAAGAGGGAAGGAAGGATACACTGAAACATGGCCTGGTGAGAGCATGGATTGAAGCCATATTTTGGTCAAAGATCTGGTCAAAGATATAGTACTTCAGTTGGTAGATAATGGGGCCACTGGATTTTTGTTTGCTTTTTAGCAGAAAAATGACATCAGAAGTGCACTTTAAGGAAGATGAGTCTGGCAGTAGTGTGCTTAGTGGATTGGAACAGGAGAAGAGTTTGGAAGGCTTTGCAAGCCTGCAGGGGAGAGGTAACCAGGTTGAACTGGGATGGTGACGGTGGGGCAGCAGAGAAGGGGTGTGGGGCCAGAGCATGGCACTCTGCAGAAAGCAGTACTGGCAGTTCCTTAAACAATTAAAAATAGAATTACCATATGAGTCAGCAATTCCACTTCTGGGTATACACCCAAAATAATTGAAACAGGGTCTTGAAGAGACACTTGGACACCCCTATTTACAGCAGCACTCTTCACAATATTCAAAACATGGAAGCAACTCAGGTGTCCACTGATGGGTGAATGGATAAACAAAATGTTGTCTATACATGCAATGGAATATTTTCAGCTTTAAAAAGGAAGGAAGTTTGACATACGCTTTAATATAGATGAACCTTGAGAATACTGTGCTAAATTAAATAAGCCAGTCTTAAAAAAGAGAAATATTGTATTCTACTTATGTAAGATACCTAGAGAGTAATCAAAACCGTAGAGACAGAAAGTTGAATGGTGATTGCCAGCGGCTAATGGGAGGGCGAATGGGGAGTTTAAAGGGTTTAGAATTTCAGTTTTGTGAGATAAAAAGAGTTACGGAGATTGGCTGCAAAAAATGTGTGTGTGTACTTAACATTATTTAAATGTACATTTAAAAATGATTCAGGTGGTAAATTTTATGTTGTGTGTATTTTACCACAGTTGAAGAATAGAGACATGACAGAGAGAGTATCCACAGGATTCAAGCAGCAAGGACTGAAAAGAAGGGATCAAATTGGCTTTAGGATGTGAGTTTATGTGACTAAGAGAAAATGGCAAGATTAATTGTGAAAGAGAATTCAGGTAGGGAAGGTTGGTTTGGGGTGGTTGGGATAGAAAGAAGGATCTCACAGAAATGATAATTGGATTTTAAAGTATTGGCCTGAAGTTTCTGGGGGGACATCCTAATGCAGATAATTGGAAGGAAGATAGCTAAAAAGCAGTTTATTGAGCCTTTTCTTAGGTTGATCAAACTTGCCCATCATGTATATTTGACAGGTCATCTATGATGATGTCAATCAAGTCTCTTAATGACTCAATGCATTATCCTTTTCAGGCAAAATTACCAAGGCTTTATGCTTATCTTGCCTTAGAGTGCCCTGATGGTAGGACTTTCAGGAGAAATAGCAGAGGCTTATGTTTTTGGATAAAGCCTTTTTTTTATTCCTTAAATGTACTTGATGAAAAGGGAGTAACATCAAAGTCTAGCCTTATAACCTGAGTCAAAATTATTTGGACCAACTATGAAAGTTTTGTCAGTCTAAAGTCTTAGATGAACTTTATATTATCCACCTGCTGTGAGTGAAAAAGCAAAGTTCTTGGGATATTTCTCAGTGAAATGGGGGTGATAATGATAATATTGTGTAAACAATAAAAATATACTATTATCATGATGAATTTGCCTTTATTTTTCCTTCTGTTGTATGAGCTGCTTAGGAGAGGGACCATGTATTTCTCATCTTTATAATCCTTAGAAGTAGTAAAGTGCCTGGTGCACCAGAAGAATAAGCTCATGGCCTTTGATAATAGAATCAAAGAAGGCTACAATGGAAGAAAATGAAGGGCTGGAGTTCAGAGAAATAGGTGGGCTTGCCCGGGTACTAGTGAGCTGGCTGGAACTGGGGTCTGGGTCTCCTGACCCAGTCCAGGCTTACTTCCAATTCACCCGTCATTTCATGAGGGTTCTGCAGATTCTCAGATTTCAAATTACATCTCATTGTATCCTCAGTGGTGCCCAGCATAGTACCTTGCACTGAGTGATTATCTAATGTATATTTGTTGGATCTGTTCCTTCCAAAGTCAAAATGAGGTGATGGAGAGAAAACAAGCAAATGTAACATTCCTGTGATGATCCCTAAGACAGGCTCTTATTGAATTCATATTCTGATACAAAGAATTTTTAGACACTGGGTTATTCAAATCAAGGCATCTCAGATGAAAATGGAGTCTTTTATAACAGTATTTGTTATAACAATCTTATGAGATGTGTATTGAAAGCCAGTTGATCACATAAAAATTTTTCAGTTCTTTTTGGTAAAGTCAATGATGGAAAATAATCCCCCACAACATTAGTGTAGCCTGTCAAGAAAGCAAATCTCAGATCAAGTCTGACACACAAATGGATATTTATTAAATAAATATTAATTAGAAAGCCAGCACAAAGTAACACATACAACCAGCTGTAGAAGCCCAGTGAAATACCAGCTGTTTGTCTTTTAGCCTATTCCAGCCGTCATCGTGCACACAGTGTACTTGAGACAGACTGTATTCCAGCAGCCGAATCCTGTCCCTACACAGGCACTATCAGACAGTTAAAAATAGTCTTAAACCAATGGCTGAACACAGAACTATTTAGTTGGGTGCCATCCTTAAAGATGAAGGCTTAGGCCTACCTGAATTTTATATTCAATTCATGCAAAGGAGTTAAGTGTTTGTACAATATCTTAAACCAGTCCATACCTAAAATACATTTAATTTAATCAATAAGAGCCTTGACTAAAATTTATCATGCTGTTCACAAAGCTACTGTTTTTATCAATGAAAACCCATTGCTGATATTCATTAAGTTAAGCGGTAAAGTGTTGGTTGTTGACTGAGATGTAACCCAAGTGACAATGGTAGCTGCCTTTGGTGACGGACTCCCCGAGTGGAACACCCGGAGACCACCCTTGGGTCTGAATTCTTGACTGGTACCTGGGCTGGGTAATATATGTAGGATATCACACTATATGTGTGGAGTAAAGCATATTATAAAGTAGCATAATGCTATGTCAATTTTACTGTTAATTAGGTTATAGATAAACTGGTTAATTAAGGACCCAAATGGAATTCAGGTGTTTTATTAATGTTTTATTTCTGGGTTGGATATCCTTTTCTCGTGAATGTCAGTGAATTGAGGTAGCCATATGACAAACATGGAAACTGAGCCACAACCTAATTAAGTGACTTTTTTAAGTGCAGAGAAGGAACCAGGGAAAGAATCCAGAGCCCCCCAATTTCTTTGCCAGTGTGTTTTTCACCTGTGGTGTGAGCAAAGAAGATGTTCAGGAAATTAGGTCACCCCTAAAAAACATTTCTTTTCACTATTTGGACTGATGAGACCTTAGGTTCTGTGCTGTAGGGCAGATATTTGTCTCTGCTCTTACCTCGGGGATCATCATCAAATGTAAGTGCCCTGCCTGTCAGGGAGTCCAGGGGCCTCTTCCCCCACAGCTGAGCGCCCTGAGGGCTGCAGCCCCAGGAATGTCTGCTGAGCCTCTAGGGCTTCTTTTCTGGCCATGTGGTGGTGGCAGTCATGAGACAGTGGCTGTGATGGTAGTGACCTTGCTGAGTATAAGCCAAGCTGTCTATCGGGTTATTTTCTTCTATCCTGCGTAAAGATTCCTACTCCAACACTGAATCCACGGCGCTTTAGCTCCTGTTCAGCAATGTTGAACTCTTGAAATTCTCTTTTGAAGAGTTTTATTTCAAAATCTCCACTTCTAAAATATCTACAACCTCAGAGAGAACCTCCTATGCCCCCTGTCTTTTCTCTCCTCTCATCACCCTCCACCCCAAATATCCAGGCCATCGGAGACCGGAGGCCCATGAAAAGGTGTATAGAGAGTGGAGATTTTTTAAAAATTATGTTTTCATGCAAATAGAAAGGTAGTCCTATCATACCCAATCCTTCCTGTGAAGGCATTCCAATCTCCCCGTGTTTTAGGTGTTTGAGACCAGAGAAGGATTTGAATCCTGGCCAGAATCGCATCGAGTTGGCAGTTATCTGCAGGGCCCAAGCCTGGTATAGCTCTTTAGTTTTGATAGCTGCTTCCCCTCCCTTAGGCTATACAGATATTTTGAAACCTCAGTAACTTCATAGCCATGGAAATTAATGTTTTAACTGAGGAATGCTTCTGAGATCTTGACTGACTCTAGACACTATTTCAGAACTCCATGTCAATGATATGGCTTTATTCACGTTATTACTGCATTTTGTTCTGGGAAGTGATTTACTGACTAGATGTCACCTGGCCAAAATTGAATCAAGTCACATCCTATATTTGAAGACTGAGCTGTTATATACAAAAGTCAACTTTGTTATAGAAAGTGCTGACTTGTTTACCCATTTAAAAACTTACTATGTCGAAAACACAATAAAATGAAGTCACAAGTAACATTTACAGTACAAGGACAGGAAGTATGATTTCACCCAGGAAGTATTATGAACACCACGTTTAATGGAATTTATGAAGGTTTAGGATGTGTAATTAAATTTCTGAAAAATGGAATTACTTCTAACATTATGTAAGATATAAATCTCCTTGACCCTAGAAAATATAATGAAAAATGTACTTTATTTTTTAGACCATTGAACTTCCTAGTTGGGTAAAGTTTTAGACAGTAGCTCTTAGCTTCTAAGTGCATGCTTCTCCTGTTCTCTCATCTGGCTTTTGCTCATTCCCTCCATCCTACTGATGGTGGTGGTGATAACATTTTATTGAGCACTTAATATCTACCCAGCACTGTGGTAAGGACTTTATGCACATTATGCCATATGATTCAATATTTCACAATGAGGAAACAGAGGCTTTTTAGAAAGGTTAAGTAACTGATCTTGGGTCTGTGAGCTGGGA